CCCACTTCTTATCCTGGATAAAAATAGCCCACTTTTTCGATTTGCTCGGTTCTATCATTTGGTTGCGTGTACGGTATCAATTTTGTATATTTCTATTCCTTCACATACTGTGCTGGTTGTTTGCGATTCACGGTGTGACTGCACTTGATGTGAATGTTGATATGGTGCCAACGTGTGCGTCGACCTAAAGTGCTGGCTACACGAGGCTACTAGTCTTTGCTCTGAGTCTTGGCACACTGTTCTCGTGGCCTTGCTAGGCTCAAAATGTGACCGCATTCATCCAGCGTGGAACGGACTACGGCCCAAGTACCGCCTTGTGTACGTCCGGTAGGCATATTTCCCCTGAAACTAGGCAGATGGGAATGTTTCTGCTCTGCTTGTTGAACGAGTGCAGGATGGCTCTATTGTTGAAATGTGGCTCCTATACACATGCCGCCCGTTATTACTCCTTCGGTTTACGATGGAAATGAAGCGTGTGGATGGAGCTGTGAGTGGTGAAGCGCAAGCTAACCATGGTTCCTCTGTAGGAACAGGTTTCCTGTGGCTGTCCCCATGGAGGCCGCAATGACAGGCAAATCCAAACTGAGATGCTGCTAACTAGGTTAATCGATCTGGTTACTTTAGTAACCCAATGTGTGCAACCGACTGCTTTAACCTAGAAAGGGAGACTATATGTATTGACGAAGAGGATTAGGAAGATCAATTTATCTTTGGTAGATTGAAGTCCCTGACAATTATCTTTTATCAGCATGACATCCCAGCTGCAAAATCGAATGCTGAAGTGATACTGGTAACGCTGTAAGTCGATTCGCTCGACGTGTTATAGTTGGATCTGAGTAGAATGTAAACAGACTCTTGAAACGGATGACCAAATAGATTCCGGGACATCTGCTAGGTCTGGATGTTCAGGAAGTCCTGGTGCGTATGTGTAGCGTATGTATATTAAGCATCTTCTCTTCTTGTAGTGCGATATTTTCGCAAACGGTGATAATTAAGTTTCATTAGAGCAGAGTCTAATGCATTGAAGGAGCATAAGGTTTGATTAATGATAATAGCTCACGGTAGTTGATTTGTACAACTATGCTAAAGAAATATTGTTTGTTGTTAATTTCTTTGGAAATAATCTGGATTACTAAAAGTACACCATGAAGAGTGGGGTCTGAGTTACATTGTTAAGAGGGTATTTGAAATCAGGCATTATGAGTTCGGTAGATATGTGTGGTAGCGGTAGGCTGGAGTCCAATGCTGGTAAGCCTGGGTTAGGGGTAATGGGTCATTGGTGAAGGTCCATAACGATGGGGCAAGGAGGTGTTTCAGGCATTAGGTCTATATTGTGGTGAAGTTGGCACTGATCTAGTCGAGTCATTTGAAAATATTGTAAAAACAACGGGAAAATATACAGATGCAATTGAGGGTTTTATCATCCGGCTTCTTTTTGCACTGCTGCTGACATTTTATTTTCCAACTAATTCCAACTTCCAGTGCAACATGAGCCTGCATTCTCCCCTCTCAACAAACATTCTTCTTCACGTTCTGCATAGTTCAATGCATTCCCCACACCCGTACCCACAATAAATGACAAAACATTACTCGTGTGTTCCCCCCCCCCCCCACTATGCTCATTGTTCTTCGCCCCGCCATCAACGATGTGAAACATTGTAACCTACTCACCCGGAAAAATCCACCCATGGTCAGTTGAGAAATGCCTACAACTCTACATCTCCTAAGGTGTCCGGTCAAAATCAAATTCCGTGTATCCCCCTGGGACAGAGGCCAATACGTAATCTATCATGGTGGCTTGGGAGGACAAGTTGTATCCTTAGTTATACTTCATACTCCTAACGGTCCCAATTTCATCCATATTCTATGCACTTGGTTGTCCTGTGACATGTTGGAAACCACGGTTTCGACTGTCGATCACATGAAAAGGTCCGATTAACTATCATACACCACACAAAATTTCGCAGAACAACGAACCGCGGTTGTCCAATATCGATTGGCTTCCCTGCCATTGCTCGAAACCAATGGGCGTCTGACAAACCACAACAATTTTGTTTTGTTTCACTAGTCGTTCTCAAGCTCATGTTCGAATCGATATTGCGCATATGTCCCAACACAGTTCCTTAGGCAGTTTCGTAAAATCATTTGGAAACAGAGGCACTTATGTGGGGACAATGTCCAGTCACCACCCTTCCACCCCAATTGGCGTACTAGCTACAGAACATTAATTTTACGTTATTACTTCGCATAGTCGTATTATGATCTAGGAGCTTCCTTTATCATGCGAAACGTTTCGAATTTTCTAATGAGGTGGCAAGATTTTCACTATCAACAAGGCATTGTCTTCGATGTCGAAAATGAGAATTTCAACCACTCAATCACACTCAATTCGTGCGCCATGACAGTATGTATCAAACGATAAGGCGTGTAATGATACTTACCACACCACACACACAACCAAAGAACTGTGCCTGGTGTGCGGCTGCCACCGCTGTGCTATTAGGGCTTGACAAGTGTTCGGACCTCGATGACCCGGCCTGTCCTCAACAGGACACGCGATCCACTAATGGAGAGTCGCACAAACGTATGCTTTCTCGTTGGGTCACGGATCGCGATTAGTATGGCGAACTGCGACAGTCACATGCACGTAGGGCTGGTTGAAGCAGACGCACATACGCACGTGACGGCTATCGACCAACCCTGAAGGCCGCCTCAAACAATCTATAGCATAATCATAGCCACTAGCTTCGTTGGCTGAGGAATTGTAGGCACTGCCATGGTGTTAACCAATCAGTGATTAGAAGCCAGGCACATAGTTTCCCATAGTTTCCCATTGTGTACATTTGTTCGGTTTGACGTACTCGAATGGAGGGCACATGTCCTGTGCGGTGTCTGTTCAACTCGAACCACTGCTGTTGTTCAACTCTGGATGATTTCTACCAGCCGAGCAATGCTGTCACGGAGCTGGAGCAGGTGTGCAGACGCGAACTGGAGAGATTTCGCAAGTTGTACAACTTTGATCTGGAAACGATGCGACCTGTTCAGCCTATAGGTGAGGGGGTGTCTGGTGTTACTTTCACTGGTTATGACCGAATGCCGTGGAGATGGGAGCAATTGCACACAAGCAGTGATCACGTGCCTTTGTTTTACTGGAGCCAAACGCGGGGGACTAGTGGAACACGACTGAACTCGAAGATTTCGAAAAGTGAGCCCAAATTAGAACCTAAGAAGGCACGCAGTCCCACAAGGCGTAGCAGCAAATCAAGTGCTGTTTCCCAAGGAAGTCAGCCGTTCCTTGCCCATCTGCAAGCAGCGAACCAAGCTAAAACGGCCTGCATGAAAGCTGGGACGCCAACAATCTTCAGTCTATGGTCTCCGCGAATCCAACGATGTTCCGATTTTGATGTAGAGCCGAACTGTGTACATGTGAAATCAAACGAGTCCCGAACTCCGAGTGATGACAATTTGTATGCTGGAAGTCATGCTCAACTCTTGCGATTGAGAAGTTGCGACTGGCAATCTGACGAGAAACCCACTGTCGGGCGAGTCGTTGCAAGTCGCGGCCATCCTTCCAACGGACGGAGCACTGAGAAGTTTACCGCGTGGACCGCGCAGCCTTGGACTTTGACAAGGTAAACCTTTACCAAACATGCTTTTTGTTCGGTAGGTAGTGCTTGGAACGAAAAATACTGTATGCTTCATTAAACATCACATTTGTGTCCCGGCTTTGCACATCTGCGCTATGTTTTGCGGAACTATCTGGCCCGAGCGAAACACAACCCTGACTGATATTCTGAAATTCGAGTCGTATTGCTGCTTGGCTTACTTGGTATATGGTGTCACAGCCTTCATCGTCTCACAGCTGCTGATCTGTAAGACCTACACACATCGGATAAGTCAGCTAGTCAGGAGAGTAGGATGATGTAGGTGGCGTAAATCGGGATGTAGTACAAATAGCTTAACTCAGCTTGTTCGAATTGCGTAAAATCCTGTATCTCATTGGATGCTATTTCTGCTCTGATTTTTTGTCTGCGCCTGTCTATATCATATTGAGATCCGCGCCGGTTGTGTGAAAGCTCATAGAACTGTATGCGCGATGGCTGCACTGATAAGACCGAGGAGCTCAACTACTGAATTCATAGCCAAGACATAATAGCGACTTAATTGTTGCCATGTCTAATTTGTTACATTAACTTTCTCTTTTGAGCACTTTCTTTTGGTCACTCGCGAGCATGGCTCTCATTTTTTGCATGATATATGGGGTTTTAATGAAAAATATTTTTACCTCGATTTCCAACTACTCAATACGATATACGTATTCGTAATGGTGTTCCGACTCCGCATGACTCGGGAACAAACCGTGCGGAGCTCGTTTAGGATCTTCAGGTAGACGATGTCGTTTACCCGCTTGAACTACGATCAACTGTCTACCGAATGGGTGCATGGATTGAACAGCTACTAAGATCCACAACTGCGCATCTGGTACCTGCTTAAAGCCACCAGGTAATTAAAAAACACTGAACTTGATCACTATGAGTACTTTATTCTGTTCTGCATGAAGTTAGCATATCCGATTTCCGAATTCCTACGAATCTATAAAATCAGTGCAATTCCACTGAAGCTACAAGCGACCAGAAGTTTAGTAGTTGTCTATATTAATTGCGCTATCGTTTGGACATTCTATTGACGTGGTATAATAGCTGCTGTTTTCATGTTTCATCTGTTCTCAGCTCACTTCCTTCGAGATCCAAGCGGCCGCAGCCATGAGTGTGCTGCCGAATTCCCACTGGGCATCTCTGCACTGCGCCATCGAGTTCAGGCCACGTGATCCACGATCTGCGCTTCCGCGATGTCAACCAACCGGATGTGTTATGTTGACTGCACAACAGAGACCAACGAGAAGGGACTTGGCATTGGAGGAGCACCGTTAGCTTATGGCTGACACTGAAATTGTGTGAAAAAATTAGACGATTTATAGCACACTGTCAGTTTTCCCAATCGAAGAAATCGAACCGGTCTCACCATGTAACTGCTGAAACTGTCCGCTGGTATGTCCCATGCCACCATATCTATACACCGTATCGCGGCAAGTGCCCAGTCATTGTTTGCCTGTCTATAAATCTTCCATTCAACTTAATGAAGATAGAGTCACATAGTCATCCGCGAACTGAGACCTGAGGACTTTGAATATATGCTGTTTTACGTCATTTTGATTGACCCAGATGAATCAGGATATGATTTCGGGACACCAGTCCTACATGGCCTCCTCCTATACTGAACTTTGTGAGTTGGTGTATTCTTGATGTCACAATGGCTCAATCTGATGAGAGAGAGAGATTCCACTGATTATATCGAAAAGATATGATATCTGTCGCGCTTGCGTTGAGCGATTGGGGTTGGAAAGGAACGAATAACACTATTTTACTTTTACAACTGAGAAATCAAACAGTATGTGATTTGTGTTAGATGGCTTTCCCCTATGGCATAAAGTTTATGCCCTGCTGCATACGTCCATTTTGTACAGAACATCATCTTTTTGGTCCCTCTCTCTTATTATTTACCTGTACACTATTCGTTTTTTATTTGTGACTATGAGAAAGATGAGAAGGCAATTCTGTGCTCCTGTTTCTTATCTCCCTGGTTCTGTGAAATTTTCCACACATTGCTTGCCGGGAATGTGCGTACAATTGTGTTGCGAAGTCTAGATCTGTCACATGGAGAACTCGCGAGGCAATCGCCCGTGCCCGTTACTGTGCGGTTCTCTTCATCACAAGAGACTGACTATTTTCTTAGTGTTGCTGATAGCAATAACAGAGGTAATTGTAGTAGTGTTAATGAAAAGTTCTGAACCGGAAAAGCAGCGGTCACAAGGTGTGCAAAGTGACCAGGAGCATTCCATTTTGTGTGATATGCCGGACCCCTTGTTTCGGCCTACTTGGGGCAATGCGGTTCTTTCATACAGCAGCATTTAAACTTGCCTTCAGACGCATCCCCAGGTGGCCTAAACACAGTTTGGACTGTTCTGGATAAGAACACGACCCATGAAAGTACACAGTTGTAGTGTGTACTCACGGTCAGTGCAAGGCCCGCTCGATCAAACCCGCTTTTATTCACATCACGTTAGGATCGAATGCCGACAAACAGACAGACAGACAGACAGACAGACAGAAAAACAATGGCTCGTGACAACCAATTACAACAGTCACCCATCGCTAAATTAAGTGTATCCTACTTGATAACGTTGTACGGTCAGTTTCTAACGAAGTGAAGACCATGGATGTAGAGGAAGTGTCGTAACGTCGTCTTCTTTTGGTAATGATTCCGGTGATATTCTTATGGGTGCAGGTGATGGGCCCTTTGTTGGTTCATCGTCTGACTTCAAAGACTGTCGTCGCACTTGTTCCAATTGATGTCGGAGCACCCGCCCGTCCTTCAGCTGTGCCTCCACTGCACTACCGCTTCTTGATCTCGTAACTCCGCACATTCAAGTTTTATCCGTTGGCCTGAGTTTAAGAAACAAAATGTCGCCCGTCTCAATCACCAGATCGTTTGTTCTGATGTCCTAGCGTCACTCCATCAAGCAGTGGTGTGCAACGACCGTTCTGTGCCAGTCGGGTTCAATCTTATCCAGCCAAATGCGCAGCCGTCACACACGGTGGGTGTAATGTGGTACTGTGGTTGGAATTTGTCCAAACGAGTTTATAAAGTTCCAGACTGTTGTTTGGCCATGCCCTGTCTCATTGTCGCAGCCATTCTCTCTACTAAACTATTGGATGAAAGGTGGTATGATGCTAAGAGAACGTGTGCGATTCCATTTTATCGCGAAAATTGCCCACACTCGTCACTGGCAACTGCCGAGCCATTATCTGAGACAACTTTATATGGCGCACCAAATGTAGCGTATATGTTCATTAAGATGTGCACCATGATCAACTCAGTCATGGGTGTGGTTCCGTTGCTTCTATTGATTTGGAATATGCGTCCACTACAACAAACAACATGGAGCCATTGATGGGTCTAGAGAAGTTAATGTGTATTCTGTCCCACGGGAGAATGGGCCATTGGCATGGCGACTTTGGCACAAACGATGGAGATGAGCTAATCACTTGGCAGCTAGCACAAAATTGTACAATTTGTTTTATCTCCTGATCGACACCGGGCCAGCCGATATAGTTGCGCCCTAGTGCGTTCATCTTTGAATTTCTTTTGGGAGCCATATGGAGTTCTGCAAGATTGTTTGACGATGCAGTATGGGAACGACAACTCGAGAGCCCCAAAGTATACAACCACCCTCGAGGCTCAATTCATCTCTTCGACTGTGAAATGCTCTTAGACCCTGGTCCGCCCAGCTAGTAAGAATCTAATCACGTATCGTCTACCATTCAGAGTCACTTAATGCTTGCGACTTTATCTCTGTCGCTGTTACTGGTAAATTATCCAACCAGCATATTACTTTCATCAGTTCTCTCAAACCTGGTGTGTGTCTCGGAACTTCCCGTCGGCTAAGAGTGCCGGTACACACATTTTCTTACTCGGGAAGCTATTTTAATTGATACTGATAGGCAGCGAGTAGTGGGACCCAGCGAAGCATACGGGGTGATGTCATTTTTGCATCGCGTTAGGTTCGCCCTGAATTCCCAGAAGCGGTTTGTAGTCTGTGTGCATTTCACACTTCTGTCCGCATAGGCATTGGTGAAAATGGGCAACCTCAAATACAGCCATCAAAGACTCCTTGTTAACTTGGGTGTAATTTCGACCGACAGCCTGGGAGAGGTTCCTGTGGTAAATGCTACCGGTTTGTCTACTCCTCTGACGTCCGGTTGTAGCGAGGGATTCCGACGGAGTATGGTAATGTATCACATGTCCACGACATGTAGTTTTGGGGGTCAAAGTGGGTCAAAACAGATGGACTGGCCAATTTATCTTTAGAGAGCTGGAAAGCGAATTCCATCCCCTCAGACCACACCCACTGATGGTCTATGCATAATGAACGATGCGAATCATAGAGCGCTGTGACTAACTGTGGTACAAACATTGAGCAGTTGTTAGAGAATTACTTATTTGGGATGCATTTTGTGTGACAGTTTGTAACTGCAAGCTTTCATTTTTGCTGCCTGCATCTCTTGATGTTTACTTTGATGCATCATTGTCGCAGCCTTATTGACCGGTAACAGTCGTTGCCTGTGGTGGCTTATCACAGCTTCTCCCTCCAACTGCCACTGTCAATTACCCTTCGTTGTGTGCCTCTGATTGGTGCTTTATGTGAGTGCTTTCTTGGTTGACTCGATCCGGTGTTTTCAGTGCCGTAGGGTTGGTTTTGACTGTTGCTCATTTGATATATATCAGCTACAAGTTTTGAGGCAAAAAGAACCTTGTGTCTGTTCGTCGTGGTGTACTCGTCGGCGACGTAGGTCGGAGCAGTTGGAGGCGATGTACCAAATACTGACGACGGATGTGTTAGTGATCCATGGCCATTTCTCAGTTGAATAGAAGCAGGCCCTTCTCCAACAGAAATACGCGGTTTGAGAAGTCACAGCAGCAAAATCATTGAGTGATTGTCCCGGAATTCAAACATTGTGACTGAGTATGCAGGATCAGCTACACAGTCTTCCGTGGAAGTCATTGCAGTATCAATATTCGAGTACATTTTTAACTGACTGACTGACAGGTGTGACGTTTGAATCGTGATCTCGGGAATATGAAGATATTTTCCGTGTGGAGTTATCCGATCAAGATGATGTTTGGAAGGTCCGGCTGTTATTGTGAAAGCTTGGTTCAGTCGAAGAGTAACGCTACACCCGTTTGGGGTTGCATATGAACCTTTAAGACTTCAGCTTTGAAGAAGCGATGATGAGGTTGATGCATACTTTCGATGAGCCATATTTTTGTTCAGTATTGGTTAACTTTGTTAAATTGGTCAAACGTGATACGCATATTTTTGTCACTCATACCGTAATCGTGAGCAGAGAATGTGAACGCTTCAAATTGGGCACTATGACGGCTGATCAGTAAAAGATGGATGATTTTTGATACAGTCTTCAGTCCCATAATGATGCCGACTTTGTACGCGCACTCTACAAGCTGAATCAGTACTTCTAGCTGATGCTACAGGTTACGACCGAAGGCCAAGAGATGGTCCGTTTGAAATACGACACCAGGATGACTGAACATGCTGAGTGTAGCAGAGAACCTCATCTATCTCGTTCAACTGTTTCTGATCAAATTGTGTACCATAATGCGTCCAACAAGAAGCCGTTCACTGCATGTTGGAACTTTGGAGAATGGCATGCAAGCGATTGCACTTGCAAAAGCATCAGTGTCAAAAATGCAAACGGTTTGGTCATGCAGAAACACACCGTCGGGCTTACACCAACAGTGTGCGCATGAGCCAGTTTCAGAAGGGCCAGGTTCCACGGAGGGAAGACAGAGGTTATTCGGCAGCATTCCGCACAAAAATTTGGGACAAGAGAAAGCACTTGACCGTGAAGCTCAATTATTTTTCTCTTGTCGTCGCGGCTGGATGCAGTGTCTGTTGTTACAATAATTTCTCGGTCGACATGGACCAGTCTTGGCAGACCGCCAATCAGTCGACAAATGTGACAGCCTAGAATGCTTCCCGGGAGTCGCTGAGGTTAGACTGCGACATTGGTTGTGAAGTCGAAATTCAATATTTTCAACTCCATGAGACGGTCTACTCAGTTTCATGCACTGACCATCTTATCGGAACTGATTGAATTGATAGACTGAAATTTCTGAATGTGTAGCTGAATCATTAATGTTCTGAAAAGGGTGTCATGGTAGTAACTGACGTCAGTCAAAGTAATTCTGAACAACTTCAAGCAAAGTCTGCTTGTGTCTTCCAATCCGACCTTAGACACTGCACGAAGATACAGACAAGGCTTACACTATGTTAGAGTATATTTTGAATCAATCGAAGAGTCAAAATCACGGTAAGATTGGTAGACTACCGGGTAATGTAGTTGTTGAGCACACGAAGTTTTGCTTTTGCACAAAAGCTTCTTCTGGTAAAGCTTACGCTGTTTCCCGATGCAAGACCAGTGTTTCGACCCAGGCGTCCGTTACAGTCTGCATCAAAGCTACTTGTTGTAAAGGAGCTTGATCGACTGAAACAAGCTGGGTGATCGAGCGTGTCGATTACTCGTCATGGGCTGCTCCCATCGTCGTGATCAGGAATCCAACAGCACTATTAGTTTGGGTGCAGATTTATCAAAAGGGATGAATACTACGTTGTAGCCTCGTCAATAACCACTTCCACTCCCCGAGGACATGTTTGCAAAGTAACCAGAGACAACTACTTCACCGCGTAAAGTCTCACAGTGGCTTACTTACAACGAGAGGCGTGACCTGAATGCAGAGAGCTAAACACTCATCGTGGTCTCCATTAGAATAACCACATGCCGCCTGGAATCAAGATCGCATCCGCAATTTCCCAGCATGCCATGGACGCTATGCTGGTGAGTGTACCTGGAGCTGCGGCCTATTTGAATGATAAGGACACAGTGAACAAAATATAAACAGCTTCAGTGACTGAATGGTGCGATGCGCTGAATGACAGAATATAGATTCAATTTGCCTGGGGAAAAAGAAACA